AAAAATTGCCTGCATTTTTTGGTTCAGGCCAAAAACAGAAGGGTGGTCTAATAAGTACAAGGGATGTGAATTGAGTCAAGGGATGAAGTAAATTAGGTATTTTAATCCCTTCTTTAAATAGGAAAGGCACTGAAGAGGTTTTTTTGTAGTCTTTGAAGATACTTTTTTTTTTCTAAAAAAAGGATGACTTTACTTAGACAGATGCACTCCATTTAAGTGTGCTGCTATTGCTAGCTTTTGTCCGTGTTTTGTAGTAGTATGTGCTGCACACGCAGCTTCGGGAGACTGGGACTCCAAGGCCAGCTTGCTTGTGCAGTTTATGCAATTGACTGCTCCTGTTCGTCAGTGTTTAGGAAACGAGGAGAAAGTGGATTTGAAGGCTTGCTTTCGTCACTGACCCCCGTTCTCCTGCTGGTGTTTGTTGCTTTTTTGGGTCTGTTTGATGTCATAACACGAATCATCTCCTGATGCTGTCAGCTTGCTGGAGCACATCAAGGTTGTAATGTCAGTCTCCAGTTTAGTTCCTGTAGTTCTGAAGACCAACTGCAGGTTCCACAAGCTCTATGACGTAGACAGTGTCCAAGAACATTAGATCCTGCCTTTACAAAGAGCAACTCGTGTTAACGTCACTACAGAAATACTGTATGCATGTCACATTCTGTTTCATGTATCCAAGAACTGCCAATTAATCTCTAGAAGCTAGCACATAGTAGCTTATTCCTTTAAGGAACAACAATAAAATTTAACAGAGCTTTTAAAAATCTGCTTAATTTTGTACTTGGTTCAATAATTTATTCATTCAGATTCAATTTTATTATAATAGCACTGGTACTGAGCAGATTCTTTCTTCAAGTGAACAAAGTATTAACAAAGGATGTTTTAAAATCCTGAAGAGGAAGAGGTATCTGTTCATTTCTTTCCCTTGGCTAGCCCCTGTAAAACACAGATGCATCCCATTTTGGTTGAAACAGGACTGTGTAGGAGCAGAATAGCCTGGAGACAAAGTGCCAGTGGAAATATGAAAACAAGTCCACATAGTCTGCATGTGGCCAAGTGGAATGCCACATGCAGAATGATGACTAGCAGCAGAAGTTAAATATTTAGACTACCGAAGGGAGACTCTCACTGTGAAAGTGCTGGAACTGATAAGGCCCCATAAGATGTGCTCGGTGTTGAGCTGGGGGTGTAGCTTTATCTGTCACAGGAGGTTGCTGTGGGCTGCCACCGACAGTCTTGGACAGAAACGGCTGGGGGTCTCTCCTGCCCTGCTAGGCCACAGAGAACCCCCACCACAGCCTGTCATCACTGATCTGACAAGGCCGAAACAAGATCTAGCACCTCCTAATCGGGTGCTATCTTTAGCAGGCTAGTACATGAAAGTGTCCTGTGTACCCAGAAGAGGCAGAGACCATGCAACAGTCATCGATGACAGAGTGTCAGGAGCAATTTGTACACATCTTCTTGAGCTGGGGTGTGAGCAGCCCCAGCGAGCTTCAGTCTGGCTCTTGAGGGTTCCGAAGGGAGGTTATTTATTCAGCAGATGGTCAGAACGACATTCTCAACACTTGATGGACGGGACCTGAAGTTCTGGATGAAATCTGTTATAGAAAGGAAATGAAGGGAGCAGGTTTACTTTCACACACACATTTTGTTTACACAAATTTTGTTTTGTGAAAGTAAAAAATGTAACAAGAGGTTTTGAAGAGGTTTTCAAAGAGGCTGCAAAACCATGGCCATCTGAGAATGGAAATGTATTTCTGTTGGTGCTCAAGTTTGCTTTTGGTACATTTACATAATGCACAGGAATTAGGATATTGCACAGAAAATAACCAGAGAAGGTGGGCTAATTTCAAATGTTCTCAGGGTGTGGCACAGCATGGACCACACAAGTCCACTGAGGTTCAAACCACATAATTGGGAAGGTTATGGAAAGGATGTGATCATTGTTCTGTGTTGGTGTGGCACGCAGCTAAAGAGAAGGGTCTGCATCACAGCTGGAGGGGAGTAAGAGTATCATTCCTGTACACTATATTTCTCAGTTCTCTGTCATCATAAAGACAGAACACGCCTTCAGTAGCCGAGTAGGCGATATTGTCTAAATTCTAAAAATTCCACGTTTTGTTTTTGATTTCCAAAAACTATATTAAAATAAAGAAAAAAAAACATGATTTTTTTTAATATTACATTTGTATATGTCTTAAACTTGGAACTTTAAAATCTCAGATGTGTTTTAAGATTAGGAATTTAAACCAAGCTGAAGTACTTGATCATTCTTCGTGTCCAATGCCACATCAATCTATATCCCTCATTTCACTCGGTTCTGTAATATATTGTGATGCTTCTTTTGCTGGCGGTTCTGCTGTCATCACTCCAAGGCTGCAGATCACGTATTCAGCAAAATTCACACAGCTGTGCTAATAAAGAGAGGAAATAATAACCACGTAACTGGAAAAGGGGGGATGACCTATAAAATAGGGTACAAAGTCACGTCCAGGAGGCATGAAAATATTGATTTTTCTTTTTTTTCAACTCCACAAACAAATGGGATTTAAACTCTCTTAAGCAATCGGGTTTACCAAGCTAAACTGTTAGATGGCTCTCCTTTATTAAAAACTAAAAAAATAACAAAAGTGATATTATTTGAAAACACCACTTTTCATTATCAGGAAACATTATTTTAGCTTTTGGCTTTAAAGGCAGAGCAAAACAGAAGCACTGCGCCATGCTGTAACTTACCCTTCTGTAAAATGCGATCAAACTGCTTCTCAAAAGGAAATAAATGTAGGTCATGAGGAATTGTGCCCATTCCCAAACGGAGTTTCAGAAGGTGAAAAGATAAACTTAAGTTCTAAACTAAAACTTACAACTGCTGTACATTATGGAAATAAAAAAAAAAACATCAAGGCATTCTGTACCCAAGCACTGTCAAAAAGTCCGCTAATTCATGTTTATGTGTCAAAAGGTATAGTATCTATTTTTTCATCTCAGACTTATTAATTATTCTCAGGACACCTAAGTACCTTAGCTAGACTATGTTATGATAGGGAAAAAAATACCACTAGGCTGTATTTTCTTCTTAGATTAACACTCATACTTTTGAAAGTGAGATACTGTAGGTAAGACCATTCAACCATCTATGCACATTTGGTTACTAGAAACTTATTGATCCCCAAATTACAGCTAGACGTTTCTTGAAGAGACTAAAATCAGCTTCGAAAACACAGCTTAGGAGCATGCTCCAAACATCTGTTACTCTTTCTGATGTACTGCGCCTTGCCATTTTAATTTATTGTGGGTGAAAAATGATGGATGGTCTGCTGTATGTATCTGACAGAAGGCCATGGTATTAAGTGCCAAATCAGTAATGAAGCACATGCCAAATCTCTGTGCTGGTGATTGCTTTCAGCTAACTGGAAGGAAAAGAGCACAGAGGAAAAGCTACTTCTTCACTTCCTCCATGCACTCTAACCTCAGCATCTGGAGGACATCAGCGTGCCACAGCGGATCGCTTGGGGCGGAGCTGAAACAAAATGCGGTTTATTTGTCAAGAATTTCATTAGACATTAAAAATACCCCTGTCTTTAAGTGAATTAGGAAAAGGAAAGATAAATCCAAATATATGCAGGGTCTTAGACTAACAAAAATCTTATGGAAAGCGCGATGGAGAAAAGAAAGCCTTACAAATTCTGAAATAATACTTTTGTATGTGCTGTGCTACATCTAGTGGTGGGTAGCGTGCATAACAGCATTTCACCTTAAACGGCAGAAGGAGAGAACTTGGGCCAGTAGAACTTCAAGTTTGCAATACAGATACAATTGACAGGAAAGGATTAAAAACAAAGAGGCTAGGGTAGTACCCCAGATTAATGTTATATACTACAGATAATAATATGAATACTTGAATCATAGCCCAGAGCACATTTCTTCATCCTCAACATAATAATGATCACAACAAAAGAAAATGGATTTAATACAGAATTTTATGTACATAACAGGTGTAAAAACATCCTTTATAATGTAAAAGAAAAATGAGGTAAACATCAGCTCTAAGTCCAAGACCCATTACGTAACATTGATATTGAACACCATCACTGCTCTGGTATCCCATGTAAAGATATATGCACTAACATAAAACCTTTCCACACCTATCGCAGTCCAAAAATTATTTTGTTTTATTAAGTAATACATAAACCTTTTCAGAAACTCCACACTTCCCAGCTCCTCAATTTTTTTGTGCTGTTTTTTAAATAAAAATGCAGCTTCTAGATGTTCTAGATATTTAGAATCCAAAACCATATGTTTGTATTTATGTACTCAACCATGTGATAATAGAGAGACTAGAAATAAATTACTTCCCTGATGGTTTGTTGCTGCACATGAAACTTCTTTCTTGTGGCTTGAGAGGATGAGGAAGCCACTGGGGCATCAGACGGTTTACTAACTAATGTGTGAAGTGTGTTTCCAATTAAAGAAGGAAACAGTAATTTGGTGTTATAGTAAAGAATCTGTAACAGCCCCCAATTGTTTCCTAGCTTCATTGTTAATGAGCAGATGTGGAGGAATAGCGGTAGATCAAACTAGGAGCTGTGACAGAATTCAATACTGACTGTGCTTGGAGTGCAGGAGAAGATGCTTGGAGTGTAACTGCTGGTGGGGGAGGGGCATGTCTGCATCTCAGCTGTTTAATACACACATAGAAGGAAACAAATTGACTGTAATATTTGTTTAACTGCGCAAACACCACAGTTCAGGAGCACCCAGCGTGCTGTGGGCTCTGTTTTAAAAGAAAACGGTAGCTCAATACACTGTTGGAAACCAACAGAACTAGAGGAGGTGGGAATTGCAAAGCATACGGTCAGGGAGGCTGCTGTTTCTTACACACCCTTACAAAAAACCCTGCACTTAAACTCTATGGGAACATCTAATGAGATTTTTTTTATATTTTAATGAAAAAACAGGAAATACCAGAAGCGTTTAAAAGTTTCTTAGGACAATCTAAATCACAGAGCTTTTCATTATTTATTACTAAAAATCCAGTTCCAGACCCTAGGAGATAAATACTTACATATTATATAATGCAGCATAAAAGTGTTTCTACTTAGAGAGCAGCATCAGATTCTATTTAACATTATTGAATACAATATGCATTTTGTACTCCTGAGGCTGACCTTAATTCCAGTAAAGAAGGAAAAATTGAAAAATGCCTATTTTCATCAGGCTCAGAATGTGTTCTAGTTTTCATTAAACATTATAAGCATAGTTACTGTAGTAATTTAACCGAAACCAACCTTGCTAAGGCAATAAGACAAACGACTAAATAAAAAATTGTAAAAGCTGTAAAAATACATTTGATTCCATTAGTCAAACTGTTAACTTTACAATAAAATAAGTAATATAAAGGACCAAACTGTAAACACCTCAAAATACACACATTCCACTTCTCTATTAATACAGAAGCCTTATATATGACCACAATATATTTCCTACACTGTAGAGGTTGAAGATTATATATAAAGCTATACAAATGAGCTTAGTAAGGTGTCCCATCATAATAGACAACAAGATCAAAACTTCAGATTAACCAAAAAATTCAAACTGTCTGCCAGTTCCAGCTTCTATGAAGATAGTCCAGTGTATGTTATTAAAAAAAAAACATTCCACAGGTTGTTAATTCCTGAGAGTTACCATTTCACAATATGACAACAAATTCCTAAATAGTTCCTTTGATCATATTTGTCTCTGTTCTCTCCTAGCTGTCAGTATTCATGGTTCTTTAATTACATGAAATATAACCTTTTTCCACTCAGGTCTCTTTTCTAAAAATCAGCTGGACATCTTCCAGTATGCCAAGACACCTGTGAGAACTGCAGCAGCAAATATAGCCACATTCTGCCACCTCAGATTCTGGGAATAATTCCGGACACCCTCCTGGAATAAAAGATGATTCAGTAAAAATAATTACAATGGATTATTGGCTGTGGAACAGGAACACTACAAATGTAATGAAAAACTCTGTAGGTGAAATCGTAACATTAATTAAACATAAAACATCCTACAGTGAGTTTCATTAGTCCATCATATGTTCAAAAATAAATAAATAATAATAATGTTTACTTTTACTCATTAATATATAAATATAGACTACACAATTTGTAACATTAACCTGTGGGGCTTCTACCATATGTTTTAGTAAGACTCCTTTGCAGGCATTTCAATTTTAATTGTAACTGACCACAGTGTACTTCATACCCAAGACACTTTGAAGTTGGCAAAAGATTCCTTCCTTTTAATAATCACGTCTGCATTGTAAACCAATAGCATCCCCACAGTCTTAATGAGCTTCCGGACATTCTGCCATCCATATGGGCAAATAGTCTCTGTGTTGGTGTCCATGTGGGTGGGCATATAAGGAAATGCACCAATTTCTTACTTACCCATCCTCCATGCTCTCTGATCCAGCGTGAAACGTGTTCTCCAATGAAATTTAATACCCAGCCAATGATCGTTTGAATAATCTCATTGCGGTCTCTTGTGATTGCCTTTTGAGATTGGGGGAAGAATGAAAGAATTATGGCTCATGAAGCCAGGGTATTATTATGTGATTAATTCTGAGTCAACTTCACTAATATTTGCAAAAACAACTCAAGTTCCACAACTGTACACAATGTTTCCTTTCCTTTATGACACTTGGATAAGGACTTTAAACATCCTCAAGCCTTTACACATACATGCAAGTTTACACATGCCAAACTTGAGCAATTCCAATAATTTATTTTCCCCTTATTCTTAGCTAGAAAATAGCTTAGTTCTCTGCATTATCCAAGATTCATTCCAAACCTGAACTGCAGTGCCTGAAAGAATACATACAGTATGTAATGTATTTAGGTGTGATGATTTTTTTTCTTTTCTACTGCAGATAAAAATGCCCATTGAAGTCATTACCTTGATTATAAGTTTGTAAGCCAAGTGAAAAAGAGCCACCACTCGTCCCCAGTTAATACCGTCTTCAAAAATCTTCCTTGCCACAGTGAAAAACAAACTCTCTGCCGAGTCAAACTCAACCCTGCTGAGAAGACTGTTAGACAGACAATATTACAGAGCACATCAGAAAAAGTCTTGATACATTTTCTTCAAAGCAAAAACATTCCATTGACTAATGGAAATACTAACTAATAAGGTTCCAGTAACCATATCAGACAGTCTGACTAGTTTAATCTGTATGAAAATGACGGACAAATAATACAAGAAGTGTAAATAAAGATTTTTATATGTCAAAACTAAAGGAAAGTTTTACAGTTAATGTTTAATTGTTCTGGCATCTCTGTGTCACTGACACGAATGATTAGAACGTTTTTATGAGTGATAATTGTCTCCTTTTACAGTCTGAATTGTGTAATTATCAAGTTATCACTTCAGAGCTTAGAAGTAAACTATTATATTATTATATGAAGTTAGAAGAGGTGCACAGAAACAGATATTACAATAGAGCCTTGATATCTAAGAATTTGACATTCGTGATTCAGTCTGGCTGACAGGGTCTTGTATGGAAGAAGGGCGGAATGGGCCGTAACCAATTTGAAGGTTGTTAACCGCAATTTGCAAATTAGTGGTGCAACAGACTAGGATCAGGAGACAAATCCAGTTAGTGAGTGGGTACCAAATGCCCACTACCCAGCATTCGCTTCTCAACATGTTTTAGCTGTAACAAACGCTCCCGGCTCTGTGTTCGTGGAATGGGAAATGACAGGATGGAGACCTTTTTATTGTCCTTTTCATTACAGTGGGGAATGCTAAATACTGAGGCAAAGTGAGAGAGAAAGTGCAGGCATCCTCTGGATAAAGAGGAGGGATTCATGTCAATTATCTTAACTGATGACTGTTAAAATAAATGTAAGATAATGTACGTTTGTTTCTTTTACTTGCTTAATGTTATTTTAATTTACTTATAGCCAATGCATTAGTACTTTTATTATCATATAAGGGAGGGTTATGTACAGTGCATTTTTTACCATATATTACATACTGTATACTGTAATACATTATGCTTTGGCATAGGGGTACACACTGTTATATGCAAATTTGTAATATTTGCAACAATTTTGGCTATTCATGATAGTTCTCTGCATCAAACCCTTAGTGAATGTTGAGGCCCTACTGTACTCCAATAAGCAAAAGGTGATTTTTAAATATAATTCTAAATTATATTATATTACAAGCTCTTATAAGGAATTAGTGTTACTCTTCAGCTAATTTGAAAGCAACAGTTTAAAATAATCCAGACACCCGAGCATTAGGGAAACACCACAAAAATAAAATGCAGGCTTCTGAAGAAACTCACCTTTCCAGTTCAGCATTTCTATTCAGCTCATCAGCTATTTCAATTAAATTTCTTACAATGTCTTTCACTTGACTGTCCTGTCCTTCATTTGGTCTCCCTCCTAAATCCTCCGGAGCAATGACAAATTCTTGGTTATCCACACGAGCTGCCTCTACAACATATCTAAAAATGAAACAACAAACAAGACCAGTTAATCCAGATTCCCTTTATAATGGCAAAATGCAGTATCTCATGCATACTTCTCATCCATCACAATAGACATCAAAGTGATATGATACAATTGGATGAATTATGTTTTGAAACAACAGGGCATACGGTAGCTATGCTAGTATAGAGCATGTTGCATAGCTTTTCTTGCAGTTTCATTGTCCATATTTTATGTGCCAGGTATTTTCTGGGCTACAGATAATGCCAATCTAAGTTTCCACTTGTTACTGGTTATTTACACATTAACAATTATCTGCATTCAAATCATTAAATTGTAATCCAGTCCTGTGAAGTTGTTTATACAGATCATCTCTTACTGATAATATATATAGCAACACTACTTACCCTCGAAAAACAACAGCTCCTTGTTCAATGATTACATCATCAACAGTATCTGAAACAATAACAAGACTCACCTTGTAGAACATTTTAGACACAAGTTTTGTGTATGCAATTTTGTTTATTGAGATTCAGACTGCACTTTACACTGTTTTTCATAATTGTTGTACCAAGGCGAAAGCTTTTTGTTTTTCATAATTGCTGTACCTGGAACTCGTGGTGTTTTTCATAATTGCTGTACCTAAGCCTGACCTACACTCTCAGAATTGTTGTAACTAGCCCTACCCGCCATATTTGCATGGATTAAAGTAGGTGTGTCTGTCAGAATGTAGTAATTAGTAAATTAAAAGTACCACGTTTATGTCAGTTAATAATTAAGGTGGAGTCACGTGTAAGAAGGTTTCAAGCAAAAAAGGTTTTGATGACTGAACATATAAGTTATGTCAAGGTATTTTTTAAAACAATATGTTCTTGGGTTACCAGTCAGGTAAACAGCTGATTTTAGCTCAAATACTATAACTAATGTAGTTGTGTTACTTGAATATCCATTTAACAGTCACACTGATAAACATAAATAAAATATCAAACTCAAATATTTCGAAATGTAGTGGTGTGAAGTGCTTTTGGGAGAACTGTAATAGTTATGCCACAATTTATAGCAGCTCTGCTCAATATTTGCTACACAACAATCCATTTGCAAAATCCAAATGACATTTCTAAATACGTTTTTTTTACCTTCACCACCAACTGCTCCGTTTTCATCTATCTCGTTACCCTGGTTGCTTCCGGTAGAATCTGCCATCGACTGCCTTTGTGAAAAAGGTAATAAATTAATAAACCCCGCAACCTTTAAGGTTGAATAAAATTTTTAAATTTTAAAAATGTTATTCCTGGATTGGACTTCCGAATGAGACGCCTTAAGACAGTTTGTATGTTTCAGCTGTGTACGAAGGGCATCGTGTTAAAAAGTTTTTAACTGTTTTATGTTCAAAGTTATTAAAATAATGTCTAAGTGCTAGCCGAACGATAAAATGTTGATGAAAGAGTAATTTAAAAGGAAAAGCAGAATAAATCTCAATGAAAGTGAAACAAAGCCTTCTCCAGATCGCTGATGGCACAGTAAAAACAGGTTACGGAAATGCGTCCCGCAAGTATTGCAGGAAACGTGTCTTGGTATGCGTTTCACAAAAAGGTATTCCCTTGAAATATAAAGTCATAAGTTTCAAAGTTCATAGATCCACTGATGCTAACCTGACTGGATATATGTTTGTGTTTGGTAGTGAACACAATCTAGCAGTTGGAGTCTACAGTAAACATCCTAAAACAATAGACTTTTCAGGATGTTTTTACGCATTCTATTACTTAGTAACAATCCTGGAAAACAATGTTGTGAAAGCAGTACTTTTCTGTTTAAATTAAAAAATAGCGAGTGTTTGATTTCATACAAAATTGGCATTTTTGTGTTCTTGTCTGCAAATGTTACTGAACGTGTTAATGCAAATGGATGCATATACATGTGATTGTTTTAAAATATTCGGAATGTATATCCATGGCATACGAAGATAATTGCTTAATCAGAAAAGCACTTAGATGTCGAATTAATATAATCTTGAAAAAGGCAATTCGGTTTGAATGGTCGTTAATTAAATCAGTGCTTCAATACATTTTCAAAATCCTTTATTACTGCAAAACAGTAGATGGCGCCGAAATACCAATTGTGCTTTCTTTTTTAAAAGTATTAGTCTTTGAACACTTTTAATAGAATAAAGAACAATATTTCTTGAGAAGTATTTAGTACACAGATCAGGTCTCTAAAATAGCTTTAGGTAAACCTGAACATCTTAGATAATCCTAACAAAAAGGACGTTTTTTTCCTGCTTTGTCGGTTGTCATACCGATTCCAATTTGGTTCTACGATACTGTTAAAAGCGCACAGATAAGGTACAGCATTTTCAGCAGATCCATTTGTATTTTTAGCGTTGTTATACTATTTTATATTTTATTTAAATAGCGTAGACGCATTCTACAGCCTTTTATTAGGCACTGAAAACGTCTCTGAACTGTACTTATAAACGTGTATAATTTAGTGATTTTCCACACAGATGGAAAACAACACAAGAACACAGAAGGACTCATTTCATTTGATTATAACTGTCATTTACTTTTATTTTTTTAATTATTTAACAAGTCATTTTACGTGACCTGTACACTCAACATAAAACGTTATAAATTGGAAAATATCTGTTGTGGGTTATCTCTAGTGTAATTTTATACTATATATTTATACAATCCCATTATTTGATTATTACAATCCACATATATATATATAACAAAAGGTGGTAATGATTGTAATTTAAAATAGCTGGGTTTGACTGGCTTGTCTGATGTTTTCCCGTTATAATGACATCAAAGAATTAGATGCTTTGCGAATGTTTGAGTATTTAAGTACACTAAGGGTTGGCTCAACCCACTTTGGGTTGAACAAGAAGCCTTGAGCCCCCCAAAATAAACAAGTAACCCCCAAAGCAATCCATACAGAAAGAGAATGAAGGGATGTACAGGCACTGTATGGAAATGCAGATGTTGCGATAAAAAGGGAAGCAGACATGAAAAGCTGTAGGATGCCTGCTGATTAAGTACAGAGATAGGACGCCGGACAGACCAGGGCGTTGAGGAATTGGCATCAAGAGCAGCGTGGCTGAACAAGGTTGAGCAAGGAATCTGGGGCCACTCAAACCCCAAAAGAAAAAAGTGAAGAACCAAAACAACCAATGCAGAAACTTGGAGATATGGACCTTAATAATAATAATAATAATAATAATAATAATAATAATAATAATAAAGGAGAAGGCAGACATGAAAAGCTGTGGGTGCCTGCTGATTGAGTCAGGGGTAGGACCCCAGGAGATGACATCAGGAGCCACAAGGGCCCAAAGGGAGAAATCTGAGGTCGTGTTGGACACCAGGGAGCAGAGGCACAAGAAAGAGTCCTGAATAAACTAAAGAATATGAAGGAAAGAAGTCGTTTGGCCTAAAAATGCTATGTAGCGCAGTCCATGTACTGGAAAAATGAATAATGCGTGAGGCAAACACAAGACAAGTAGCATCGTTTCTCTTTCGTTCCATTGTTTTCGCTGTTCTGCTGGTATAAAAATCCAGGCAAATGTAGAAGCCGAATGCAAAACAAGCAGCGTATTTTTCTCTTTTGTTCTGTCGTTATTTCTGCTTTCCTACTTGTTGTTTGGAGCACGGTCTACAACAAGTCTACACCTAAATGAATTAAAGAATGCAATGAATGTGAATGCAAAAGAAAAAGTGCCATTTTTTTTCTTGTTTTGTCTTGTTTTAGCGTTCCTGCTTGTTGTTTGAAGCACAGTCAAGGTATAGAATGAACAGGAAAAGAGTGCAAGAGTTTTATATACAGTATATAGCAAAAGTCAGTAATGATTGTGATTTAAAATAGTTGGGTTTGATTAGGGTTGGGTTGATATTCTGTTAAGAACTTCCATTTATTGGTTGTGCTCAATGTCTTTTAGCCCTAGTGTGTGAATGCTAGTCTTTTCAGTAGTTGCCCTAGATTGCCTGTTTGCGTTTTCATACTTAGACTTAGACAATTTTTAGTATTGTTTAGAAAAAATATATATACAGTATATCAATGAAGCAAACCAGAATCTCAACTTGCATATTTCTTTTTTTTTACCATTTTGTGGTTGGCTGGTTGAGAAACCAATGTTGTTAATGCTGATAATTAAGCTACTGTATGTTCAAGAAATGACAGAATGAGATTCTTAGATTAATTAGCTGCTAGCAAACAAAGGGTCCTCTCCTGGTCAATATGCCAATATGCAGTGAAATAAGGAAGAAAGAAATGCCCCTTACTGTGGAAACACCTATTTATTTTACATTTATAGATGTTTTTTTTAATGTAGAAACTTCAACAGAAAAAAAAATTACACGTTAGAAAATCATGTCTTCACTAGGTACATATATTTCAAAGACGAATATCTTGATTTTGTCAATCAAAGTGATCAGAAGAGAAATGCATTTCCTGATGATACTAGTGGTCTGACAGATATTATCAAGTGTTGGTTATGCTTTGTAAGACATTATAGTTTAGATTAAAGTTGGCCTAACTTGAACTTTTTTAAGTGTTCTATAAGGGAATATGTTGGTCCCTCAAGGAGTTTGCCTGCATTACTCCATAAAATTATATTAGCCTATAGGGAGATTAGGGTTAAGAGTCTTGTGCACATGTCAAGAGCTCATTGAGTTCTTGCTAACTCAAATATTTGTTAATGATTAACAAATCATTAGATGTACCATATACCAGTTTATATGTACTGTAAGATTGTGTCTCCCTGCATAAATACTTTAAGTTCAGAAAATTTCTGCCATTGCCTTAGTGGCAAAAATGTTGTATATTTTAATTAAATAAGCTATTCTATTTTCAAATGAAGTTGAAAAGGGAGCCATGAAATGATGAAAGAGATCTGCTGAAAACAGACAAATATGTAGACTTACCGACTCGACTGAATGTGACTATTATTTAATGTTATCTTGCTTGGCAGGTTTTATTTTTAAACGCGTGACTTCAAACCCTAAAGGAAGAATTTAGGATAGACGTGTTAAGAATAATAGGGTGGTGAAACGTTACTAATAGTTTCAGGGTGTGTCTTAACTGTAGCTTTTCACCTTTTCCCACTCAGCCAGTGTTTTGCAAGGTGATACTGTTATTTCTACAACCACCCGGTTTGATTGAGAATTTCAAATCATCATGATCTAACTTTCCATGTAAAATTGTCTTGTAGCCGTGCAGTTGTGTACAGGTGCTTGTCTTATTTCTTTAGCCTCTTTTCAGAACTCTCATTGAAACATCTTTTTATGAAGATATGAATTAAATAGTTTTAAAATTAGCACAATGAGTCAAAAACCAAAGCCGATATCTTTCCTGCACACTTGCCAAGGTTTCCCTGATCTCATCCAAAGAATCAGGTGCCCTTGGTGTGAATATTCAGAATTAATTTGTCCTCAGGATCTTTATTGAAATTATTGAAACCAGAGCTGTCTGCTGTTGGAAGACGTCAGAAGGAGGAGCCTTCTTTACACATTTGACTCATCAAATGTTATCAGGAAAAGAACAGGTCTTGCCTTTGAAAAACACAAACCAGAAGTCACCACATATATAGCTTCCAGTTGTGTAGTAGGGGTTGTTTATATTCTCAATGATATTGCAAAAAAGAAAAGGTAATATGTTACCACAGTATTTATTTAAGTAGCAAAAGTAGTAGTTGTGCTACTACTACTAATAATAATAATTCCTTTCAAGTACAGTATATAGAGCTCTTTAATATAGGAAGGCGCCCATTTCAGCCACTGTAGTCCGGGCCCTGGATCACCATGGCTGGTGCATGGGAGCCCACCTTCACCGTAGGTCAGTGAGAAAAGTGAAAAAGTGTTGTATCCATTTGTTCAATAATGTATCAATAATTCTGTAAGTTTTCATATCCCAGTAAGAACCAGGAGGCTTGAAGGTTTCAAAAGAACTGTTTCAGTTCACATATGGAGATATTTTTCTTTTGTTTCATAAAACATACTGTTTGAATACATTTCCTTATGATGTACTGGTGTCCTGCAAGTGACATGTGTCACGGCAGAAACATGCAGCTTTCTAAAGTGATATCCACCTTAAACTAACTCCCTTATCAAATGATTCAGTTCCCTTCTTTTCTCCTTTACAGGTTGGTAGACATAGACAGCATAGAATCCCTGCAGAGTAGATAGATTATTTTTTGTTCACTTGTTGTTAACGTGTTCAGCAGTGCAGCAGCAAGCACTGTGACCTCAAATTTTTTAATATACCCAGTTACTATTTGGTTAACATAAGGGATGTTTGTTAACATTTTCATACTAGAATACCCATGAATAAAGGTCTTATTAAGCCATTGAGTCTGTTAAGTGCTTTGACTTTAGGTGTTGGAAATTGGAAAATTTTAGGGTACTCCGAAATATTAATTGATAATTAAATCTTTCTACTGACTTTTTCATTCTGAACCACAATTCATATAATTGAGGGTCACACCTGCTCACACCTGAAGAAGGCTCCACAGCCGAAACATTGTTTTCTTTCTTTTTTTTTCAGCATGGAATAAACCTATTACTTGTTCCTTATGTTTCATATATGTTTTATGTTTTTACTGGAAGAGGTCTGTATTAAAAATGTTTTAAAGCACATTAATGGATTTCTGATATTTTCCCAAAAAATAATGAACGTGTTTCTTCTTTAGAAAGATAGAAGTAATCTTCATAACTGGGAAA